ACAGTGCAACAATTGAACGCATATTTTGAAAGGTTTTTCGCTCGCACTAACACAATTTCCACGGAAGAATGGTTTAACGCATTACCTAAACCGAAGGAACGCACTGAGATGAAAAAGGTTGATTTTTTCAGTTCTTATGTAAAATAGGTACGGAAAAACAAAATGTTCGGGAGAAAATCGTGGCTGCTTAATGATTGTGAAAATGAACGAGAAATTTTGAAACCAGATGTGATTTATGAAGAGATGTTGTGCAAAAAAGTGTTGAGAAGTAGCTATGATAAATGAAAGCAGAAAAAAGTGGTTGTGAGGGGTAAGGCAAAACTGCGACAGAGGAATTGCCGAATGAGCCGCAAAAGTGAAATTCATCGATATTACATTGTTTGAACGAGTCACATGTGTTGACGAATTCTCAAAACACCATCGTTACACAGCGACGTTTATTGCAGTTGATTAAGACGGTCTTATTGATGAACAATTTCCAAACACATTGTACTCATTCGCTCTTGGTGGACTACCCTGTGCTGCAAAAGTCTATCAACATAACACTTTTCAAGGTTTGCAACATTCCAGTGGATTTCCCAAACGTTTCTCTCGAGCCACACACCTCAATATGTTCTCAAATAAACAATTGAAATAAATGAAAGCGCACAACATTTGTGTAAACAAAGTGTTCATGATCACGAAAGGCTGATTTTCGAGTTGTTCGCGTTTTGAAAAAGAAAAAATTCGGCGCTGAAATGTAAACGATACTGCAAAATACTTGAAACGATTAGAACTACTAATTGCAGGATAACTTTTGCGTTATTCATGAATTAATACCACACACCAGCAATGGTTCATTTAAACGATACTGGGGCTATGTGGTTATATCGGATCGTTTCGCACGCACTTTGCATCATTCGGCAGCGCATTTCCAGTCAGACGGAGACGTTTGCAATGAGGCAGCTGCACTATTCGAACGAACCGCAGCCAGGTCGTTGGTGATCGCTGGTGCGAGCCGTTTCGCTGTTATCGGGTATCTGTTCTCTCATTTTGGTTTCTGGCAAAACGTTGCAACTGCTAGTGTTAAGGTTACTGCCGTAAAGCTGCATTGTCATTTCTGTGAACATGCGCACACATCTAATCCGTGAGCCTCAACTGTGAAAGTGATGCAAATGAGATGCAACCAGCAAAGTGTTATTTTCAATTGTTCAATGGAAACCAATCAAACGCAGTTAAATTTCACGAATTGGAACAATTACAATATGATTTTCCTTCAAAATTTCTTTGCAAAATGTCTGTCGAAATATGGAATGCTCAGAACGAATGCAAATGAAAAATAATAGGCAAAAGGAAACATTTGGAATTGATCTTGCTTGATAGAACCTTTCAAAAAAATGTTACTGGTTCAATGCGAACATTTGAAGGAACGAAACGAACAAATGTCAGAAGAAAACGTCATTAGCTGATGCGGCACACAACAACGAAACAATGTTTCAAACTTTCAATGAAGCCATTTACGAGGTAGTCACAAATAATAAATCGAAAAGTAACAGTACATTCATCCAATGGCATGGAATGGCCGAAACCAGGTGAGCTCAGAAAGTAAGTCACGTATTCATAAGATCAGCACTCAGGGTCGTTCTTAGCCTCTCGACGATACACGTGCAGATATATTCGGAGATGATTGTTGATGAAGCAGACTTTTGAGTGACGAAAATGTGTGAATTTCTGCTAAGCGTTACTGTTTTCGGTGAATAATTTTGGTTCCTTCTAACAGTGTTTTACTAGACAGAATCTCATCACTTAAATCTGAGAGGAGCACCTTTCCTCACAGATGGATCATCTCCGAATGCCTTCTTCTATTTTTCAGCTGTTCCAAAGTAAAGGTTTTTGTGAGCGTTGGAGCGAATAACGCATCAAATGTTTATCGTGATGGAAATCTCACGGCAAATCGAGTATAAATTTTCACAATATTTTGTATTTATTCTTGGGGATGCTCAAAACTGAATTTGCCTCGTAAATTTCTATTCAATAAGCAAAATTCAATTTCATTGGGTATGTAATATGAGTTCAACTTCTGGAATTGCATTGGTTTCCATGAAGCATTCACAATTTCGCACCAGTTTTCGAAAACATGTACGTTTCTGGAACATCATCAATGGGGAAGTATCATATCTGGTTGAAATTCAGTCGTCAGTGGTAATTTGTCACTGCTGATATTTTTGTTGAAATTATTCTCTCTCGAAAAGCTTGTTCATAGTAATCACTATATGGTACCGTAATTTCAACCAAGATCGTCCGCAAACTGAATCAACTGAAAGCGGGTACTGCATGGACACCGAGGTCCACTTCAGAATGCAAGTTGGTAGCAAGAACAAATATTTTTGGCCGATATATCAATGCGGTTCCCCAGCAAGATGTTTGCCGTCAGTATGCGAATAATGCGGTGAGTGTTACGGTTTCAGCCGTCAACCTTTTGTGTAGCACCACATGGTTGCATCATTTGGTTATGTGAGCAACGCATGCTTTTCAGTTGCGTCGTATGCGTGAGATAGCATCATCACTTTATAGGCAGCGAACAGCATCACTATCGCATTTGAGAATATCATTTTCAGAAAATTAAGCAATATCAAAAGCTTATGTTCTTATCATACCAGCATCATCGATTATTTTCTTGCGTGACCATATTGCTGCTAAGATATTTTACATTTAGAGTGAATGATAATCATATTAAAGAACAGCGATCAAATCAGCCAACATATTAAGTTGATTATTGGCTATGATGTCGGCAGGCATTCTTTCAGAACATCCACGGATCATTTGTTCACATCGAACAAAAGCAAGCGATGCGCGATGATTGGGATTCGTGGACAGAAGTACTCAATGCAGCTTTTCCGATTGAAACCAATCGCTCATCATCACACAAATCGTTTCTAGCCTTTTTGAATTTATTGTTCTTAACTGCTGTTTTTGTTATCTATCATAAGTGGTAATTTCACCTGTTATTCACTTTAAATGCGAGCGTTTCTTGAATAATGTCTCGCAATGGTGATGTCAAACCAACATTTTTAAATCATCATTGATATCAATCGTATTTTGACATTTCTGATGTCTAAGGAACCATGAAATGAAAGTTTCCCGGAGCTTGTGACGCGACTTACGACTTGGGATCCAATTGATGTTTTCCAAAACATGGCTCCGAAAATTGGCATTGATGTTCCTTCAAAACGCGCACATTGTCTGTGAATTGACCTTTTGATAAAAACTCATCTGTGATCATCTAACAGTTCGTTTACATGCCATTTTCATAAATTCTATATTCGGCTGCATCAATAAGTTGAACATCTAAGTATCCAAACATTATTTTCGAAAGTCTCAATGCCATCAACCTATTGATTCACAAATCTCCATAAATCATAGTTCGATTTCAGATAGGATGTCCAAAAATGTCATGAGAATGGATGCGTCTTTGAAGTCAAATCGTGTTTTTTTCGTTTCGTAAATTTCATGTGATATATTTGTATTGTATTATTTTTAATTTTAAACAACGGAAATATGTTTAAAAATAAGTTATGTTTATTAGACATCAATGAATGGCGCAACATTAATCATCGAGAGCATAAACAACAGGTATATCACAACCACAGCGTTATCATCAAAACAACCTTTCACCGATCATTATTTACAAATCCTGTCATTCGAAGTAATCAGGAGCAGATAAGTCGAAGGCCTACTATACAAGCGCTTTCTGGATTGAAAGAGTGGGACGATCGTTTCAGTCACGAATGAAGCGATGTTACGTTTGTTGGTTCGGCCATTATCGTGCAACGTTGAGAACATGTCATTTGTTACGTTTACACGTACGACGTTATTTGTGAAGGCGGGGAGGAGGGTACACAACGGTTGAGCGATGATAATCATGTATCAGATGAACAAAAACGAAAATAAGCAAGAAAACGAAATCATAAGCATTTTGT